ACCGTTACAACAAGCAACGCTGGAGAGCAACAAATCCGCTTCAAACCTTGATCAATATTTTCCAACTGAGACCATGAGAACTTTGACGAGAATAGAAGACGAAGATGCGACCACTGGGACAAGAGGTTTATTGGCCTGGCGTTTCGGATTCTCACTCGAACCCAGCATCAGAGAGGGTCGTCGATAGGGGGAATGTCTACGTCCCGAAGAGTTTGTATGAAAGGCTTCCTTTGATACCGCATGGAACTCACTGGAAGCAGTAGAAACTCCTAAGGATCAGTTCGCATGATAGAGGACAATTTTACCTTCATATGAGTCTTACCTTCCAACGCTACGTTGGCCGGAAGTGAAGAAGGAGTTGACTGTCTAGGGTGGTGTTTTGAAGATCGGAGTACGAAGTGCTGTATTATGGATTCTCTAGATATTTTTTAAATAAGTTGACTTGATCGATTAAGGACTTAGCCCACTTAGCCCCTATTTGTCTGTTAATACGTGAATTTAATACTATCAGTTCCAGTGAATGGAAGGCACAGCGTTTCCATTTCTTAATCCAAGAATATTTTGTCTTTGCACGGATACTATGTCCCTCGCATTCCCAGCACAGGTACTGGCGTCGCATTCAAACCCCGGTTTTCTCAGAAGCCGTGTGTGTGGATCCGGGGAAGCGAAGTAGGAGCCTAAATCCTCCCGATCATGCTTCGCTGTAGCAGAAAATCAGCGAAACTTTTAGGCAGTCCTGTTTAAAAGGCTTGATGTTCATTTCGACAGTGTCCTTATCCAGACCCGAACGGCCAGTCTTCCTCTTTTTGGCGCTATTTCTAGACTATTTATTTGGTCTTTGATATAGGACCGTCTGTTAGGGCTCACAACAATGATCCCCTACTAAAATTCAATCTCCCGTAATCCGCCCTACGGTTAGGAAGCATCACTGGACGCCCCCGCTGTGTGGCTGGATGTTTCCGATGCCAATCGACAGGGAATGTGCTGATGGTTCAGCTCTTAGACCTTTACACGCAAACGCACAATGAAAAACTGACTTGGTTTTAAATTTGGGGCCACACACGGACTGAAACTGGGGTTTGACTGACTGAGGACGGCAAATAAGTAGTATCCGCCGTGGGACGAATATTAAATAAGACTGGGGCACTGTACTAATCGTTTCGGGATTATTCGCCGTCGTCAGCCGGCGGCACCCTCAACGCACAGCATGGCCTGTTTTCCCGACCGGTGGGCGACCCTCCCACGCTAACTAGTCTCGGTTGTCTCTGTCGTGAACGGTCGGAACGCTACGTGACTGCCGCAATTTAAATGCAATCTGAGTTTCCCCGTGTGTTTCTAAGCCCTAGTTCGAGTTGTTTATGCAGATCCACATTTAGTAGTCAGATTCTGGTAAATTATTTCTCGAGATGCCAAATTGTAAATTTCAGGGATCATGACCTGCAGTCTTCCTAGTTTGGTCGTTACTTTACGGACGTAGTAGATTGCTACTGTGCTTCCTTCAGTAGGCCCTTCATATGCATTATTTATAAATGGACGTAACGCATGAAGTCGACGAGCGTGTTCTGTCCTTTGTACCCGACAAGAACATCTTCACCAAATTCAGCCTATAATCTAGACTATGAGCGGTCGTTTGCGGATAATGTGAAGTGCGATGCAGAAATGCTTAGATAGATTTTCGTCCACTCTGAGTGTACATCGAAGGCGGTCATAAATTAGTGTTATTTCCTTAACTGCTGTTTGTCGAGTACGTTCGGCAGGTCCAGGAATGGAGTTACGAGACACAGCGAGGTGACAGAATTGGTAGTTAAGACCAGCATGCGTGAGCCCAGGTCTCACAGTCGCTACATCTAATTGTCCGTTTACGAGATTCCAGATTGAAACCGCTGGTGTAACATGAATAGGTGAGCCGGCATGATCTACTCGCTGTTGGGTTGGGCTTTGGGGTCCGAGGTTTGGAAGTTGGAATGGTTGGACCACCAGCTGAGAATTTTTCCGATTTGGACAAGGTAACAGGGGTTCGACACGGATATGACTAATTCGGGCGATTGGGGTCCGGACTGGGCGTTTACAGTGTGGGAAGGCACGAGTCGGTTGGCATGCGTTGGGCAGTGGCAAAAGATCGGCGAAACACCCGAGTCTGGGCGTTTAGCTAGTACTTGTGTTATCAATACGGTAAATTATTATACAATTCTACGCTGTCGGCTGCTTTTTGGTGGGTTGCGAATATTACGCGGTTATTCTGCAGTAGATGGGGGATTTCAGCTCAAATATTCATATCCACTTTCGGACCGTGCCTGAAAAGGCCTGTTTCGAAAGAGTTACTCCAAGTTCGCGCATTAATTTCCTCGGAAATTAAGCAAGGCAAGTTGAAACTGGAGTTCATATACCAGAAAACACACGGGGAAAGCTGGGGGACCCACTGACGAGCCGAACCCCTCGCAGCTGCGTCAGGCAGCGGCACAAGATCGGCGAAACACGCGTGTCTGGGCTTTTAGCTAATACCTGTGTTGTTAGTACGGTAAATTATTGCGCAATACTATACTACTGGCTGCCTGTTGGCGGTTTGTGAATATTAAGCGGTTATTCCGCAGTAGCTAATGGATTTCAGCTCAAATATTCATATCAAATTTCGGACCGTGCCTGAAAAGGTCTGTTTCGAAGAACTTACTCCAATCTTGCGCTTTAACTTCCCGGAAAATAAACAAGACAGAGGAAACATATGGGGAAGACTGGTGGGCTCACTGGTGAGTCGAACCCCTCGCAGCTGCGTCAGGCAGCTGCACAAGATCAACTAAACGCGCGTGTCTGGGCTTCTAGCTAACACCTGTGTTGGCAGTATGGTAAATAATTACACAATATTGTTCCCGTTGGAAGTACTTTGAGGCTTGTGGACTTGCCTATTAAGATTACCAGGAGTTCTGAAATTGCGTCGGCGGCGGGAATGCATGGAATGGGGTTGGTCGTTTTCGATGTCGTTCCTCTGTATTCCAGTTCTACATTCTTCTCTCCTATCCCTTTACATTTGCAGTCAGTTGACTTAGAAGGCTGCTGTTCCATTCTTCGCTGCAGTTCACCATGCCTCCAAGTCCTTGCAACACTCATGGCCTATTCGGAGGGCTTTATATGAGACTATCAGAACTTTCCCGGAGTGTAAACTCAACTTGGGGGAACCTTTAGTGGAGTCGTCTGGTAGATACTCTCACAATGTAACCGTCAGTTTTTCCTCATCTATGTTAAGGGTGCTAAACACTTTATTTGGTTCCTAAACCTCCGTGTTTGGAGTCTGTCGTTGTAAATGCACCTATCCTAGCCTAGATGAATGCGATTAAGCTTCCGCGTTCGTTTTTGATCAGATTGCCGGCGTTGTGAACTGTGAGGCGCCTTTTCAAGAATACAGTCGTGTAAGACTTTAATTTGGCGTCCATTAGAATGCCCATGTGAGGAATTGGGGTATTTGAAAGCAGGACTGTCTTTTGGATATTCCGCCTACAGTTTTTTCGTCCGTTCTGACACTTCTTGGAATGTTGCTTCCAAGGTAGGAAAATTTGTCGATGGGGGTGGGTGACCGTCGTAGATGCTGGTTGATGTCGTCCATTTGGTGCTGACTGATGCGCAACATCTGCCTTCTCCGAGTTTACGTCTAATGCGTATTTGGGTAACGTCAGGGTGTAGGACCCACAAGAAGATGGCAACTGCAAAAATATACCTTAAAATTCAGTGTGACTCCAAATATCATTCATTATTTACCATTTCCATTGTTTGATATGTCGTTCCCTTCCTGAATAAATGTAAACTTACCGGGTTCGAATCTCAAGTGATCCACACTTGGGGTTGGGTATGACTGGCTGATAACGGCTAATAAGCCAGAAATGGCCATTCCGGTCTCCCTTGTCTTTGTCGGTATCACCTTATCAACATATATCACTAGTCGCTGTGCGACTGCCTGCGAGGGTTTAAGTATGAGCCCCAAGGCACAACAGAACGAGCATGTTCTGTTACCTGATCGGTGAGTGCCCATCTGTCATAATATATATATATGGATAAATAACTGAAGTAGTTGCATTCCGAGATGATATGATGAAAGGAGAAAAACCGTCGGAAATAGAGTTTTACTCGTGAATTTTCGAGCTGGTTGTTCCAACCCGTCGTCAGAAAAAGTGGAAAGGGAGAGGTGGCATTGTCACACTGCTGGTTGAGGACGCAGACAGAGAGTTAAGCAGACGACCTTGTGAGGGGGAGGTGTTCATCGTGTTGTGATGGGTGCAGGAGGTGAGGATAGATGTTGTGGGTCCCAGTTGTGGTTCACCGTGTTGGGGGGGGAGTAGGACAGAGAGTAGGGCAGGGAGGGAGGAATGGCGTGTCGGCGAGATCATGCATGTCAGTGCATGCATTAGCTGTTGTTGTTCTTAAGGTGGGCGCCAGTCAGTCCACCGTGATCGGAGGCCCTCGTAGTGGACATCTAGGTCAACATGGCGGTTAATGCTATTTGCACCGGAGTGCCAAGCTTCGAGGAATTCCCGTGCATGTTTGTTGTTAGCCAAGGCGAACAACTTCGGTACCGTCCCATTTGAAACGGTAGTCACAATCAAGAGCGTGTGCAAACACGAGAGATAAGGGGTCGCGCCGGCGGATAGCTAACTTGTGTTCATTAATGCGAGTCCCAAGTTGTCGACCCGTGTGACCAATATAAACACAACGGCAGTTAGCGCACGGGATACGGTAAATGACGTTACTTTGTTGTTCTTTGGGTATGGGATCCTTTGCCCGGGATGGTGCTGCGCGTAAGGGGGACGCCGGCTTGTGAGCAATGCAGATGCCAAACCTGTTTTGTTGTCGGGCCATCGTTTCAGAAATTCCTCGCATGTAGGGCAGGGAATAATATTTCCTCTGTGCCAATTCTCCACTTGAACTCTGCTCTTGTGGTTGCCTCAGACGTCTGAGACAGTTTTTCATGAAGCTAATCGGATATCCGTTAGATCGGAATAATTGGTATAAGTAGGCTAGTTCTCTCTTGAGTAGATACTAGCTGCTACAGTACCGAAAGGCGCGGTGAAAAAGAGTTCGAACGCAGCTTTTTTGTAGGCCGCAGGATGATTGCTCCCGTAGTTGAGGATAATTTCGGCCCTGGAGTCTTTTCCGTGGAGGCTGGTTGCGAGATTGCCATCACTCAGTCTTTGTACACTGACGTCAAGAAAAGGGAGGATGTCCCCTGTTGCTTCTTCGCGTGTGAATTTTATGGCGGGGAAGACACCGTTGAGACTCTGGTGCAGTCGTTCAACTTCGCAGTTTTTTATGACTACGAAGGTATCATCTACGTAGCGGAGCCACATCTTTGGTCTGATGGTTTGAATAACAATTTCTTCTAGTCTTTGTAAGACTAGTTCAGCGATTAGGTCCGATATCGGTGAACCCATGGGGGTGCCCTTGACCCCCCCCCACCCCAACACGGTGAACCACAACTGGGACCCACAACATCTATCCTCACCTCCTGCATCCATCACAACACGATGAACACCTTCCCCTCACAAGGTCGTCTGCTTAACTCTCTGTCTGCGTCCTCAACCAGCAGTGTGACAATGCCACCTCTCCCTTTCCACTTTTTCTGACGACGGGTTGGTGCAACCAGCTCGAAAATTCACGAGTAAAACTCTATTTCCGACGAATTTCCTCCTTTCATCATGTATATATATGTAATCTTAGGGGGCGCTTACCGATCGTTCAGATGGAACTCACTCGTTCCGTTGTGCCTTGGGGCTCTCTCTCTCTCGAGCCCCACCAGCAGCCGCAAAGCGGCGCATGATATATAGGCAGAATGATATTACCGACAAAGACAAGGGAGACTGGAATGGCCATTTCTGGCTAATTAGCCGTCGTCAGCCAGCCATACCCAAGCCCGAAGTGTGGAACACCCGAGCCTCGAACTCGCGACCTGTTGGTTTAGAAGTCAACGCCTCTACTCACCGGGCCACGAGCCCGTTGCCTTGTCGGTTTTCGATCGGGAATATACAATGTTAGGGGGCGCTCACCGATCGTTCATACGGAACTCACTCGTTCCGTTGTGCCTTATGGACTCTCTCTCGAGCCCAACCAGCAACCGCACAGCGGCGCATGATATATAGGCAGAATAGTATTACCGACAAAGACAAGGGAGACTGGCTAATAAGCCAGAAATGGCCATTCCAGTCTCCCTTGTCTTTGTCGGTAATACTATTCTGCCTATATATCATGCGCCGCTGTGCGGCTGCTGGTTGGGCTCGAGAGAGAGTCCATAAGGCACAACGGAACGAGTGAGTTCCGTATGAACGATCGGTGAGCGCCCCCTAACATTGTATATTCCCGATCGAAAACCGACAAGGCAACGGGCTCGTGGCCCGGTGAGTAGAGGCGTTGACTTCTAAACCAACAGGTCGCGAGTTCGAGGCTCGGGTGTTCCACACTTCGGGCTTGGGTATGGCTGGCTGACGACGGCTAATAAGCCAGAAATGGCCATTCCAGTCTCCCTTGTCTTTGTCGGTAATACTATTCTGCCTATATATATATATATATATATATATATATAAAGTGAATAATTTCAGAAATTACCCAGTGCAGGACTTGGAGTTACATTTCCGGGACGTGACTTTTAGGGTCAGAACCGAAATTTCAATGAACATTCGAGTCGAAGACAATCAACTACTGTGGAATAACCACGTAATGCCCATTCTACAACCAAGTAGTACTACGAGTAGTATGAATTTCATATGGTAAAGGCATTATACCGTACTCCCGACATAGATACTTGCTAAAATTTCGGTTTTGACCTTAAAATTCATGTCCCGGAGATTTAACTCCATGTCGTACACTAAATAATTTCTGAACTTATTTACTCGCTTATTCTCTGGAGTTCATATACCAAAAACGACTACAGAACGCTGGGGGTCCAACTAAAGAGCAGAAACCCCCTCGCAGCTGTGTCTTGCGGTGGCAAAATATCGGCGAACCACTTGTCTGGACTTTTAGCAAATATCAATTTCGGGAGTACGGTATAATGCCGTTATCATATGGTAATACCATTCTGCGAGTATATATATGTAGGTGAGATTCGTTAAAATCACAAATTTAAACACACCACATCTATAAAACGCGTGTTCATATTGAACTGCTTCCTAGCCATCGACTAACAGCGTCCCGTATATGAAATTGTCTGGGTAAACCGAATGAGAATCATGCACCAGAAGCAAAAATGCCAATTGTCTGATGAAATTCACAAAACGGCGAAAATTTCACGACGTTTATTTGAATATGCTTGCATATGAAATCCGCGATAGGGTGAAGCCGCGAATATTGGAGTGAGACGTAGGGAGGGATAAGTGCACACAGCAAGTTAAATTCACTCTGAAAATTAATGCAAAAGCGGCAACGTCATAGTTCAGTACACACAGCCGAAGTAATGAAAAGAGGTTACTTAAAATGGTACTGATTTTCCGAGTAATTTCAACTTTTAGACACGAAATCCTGTTTTCATGTCTATTTTAAACTCATACCGAAGGTGGACCTATCGAAATAGCTCTTCGATCCATCTATGAATTAAATTTACGCTCTGTTATTTCTGCTCGTACAGAACTGATGAGACAGAAGTCTAATCATAAGTTGCCTGCTCCATTTGGGCTTGCCGACCAAAGTGCAAACATGCACTCCGTGAATATTCGAACGTGCTTACGAAGTCATCATCTTTGGTCTTTCTCACATTTTTCGAAATAGCGCAGGAAGGCTGCAAGTTACAATATTGCTGGTATGCCAATCATGTTTCAAAGAATCCCTAGAGACGAGTCTATTCACAGTAACCAGTTGTAAAAAATTACGTCTATTAGAGAGTGCTTATCTAGAAAACCAAACTGCTGGGGTTACAAAAATAGCGGTAATGCCTACGGCGATTCAGAACTCGGAGTAAATCAGACGGAACAGACCTGTTCAGACCGCGCAAGCGTCGAGCAGAAAGTGCTGTTGGAGGCAGTCTGCTTACAAAGGTTATTTCACGCGCAAAGCAACATATTCCCCAAATTCGTTCTCTGAAAAGAACGGTTCATTGTTTATCCCCGTCGTTGTATCACCGCCTGCAAATCCAGATCTACAGGAGATCTGTAGAGTCCAATGACTGCTCGTCGAGTTAGTTGAACACAAGTGTCCGATCGAAGTTACATGGACGTTTTGCATTGTCAGAGACCTGGCCCGCTGCTCCATTTGCGAGCATTTCTTTGAGATGCCCATTAAAACCACCCTGCAGTAAGTGGGCTAACTCATGAAATCTCAACAGAAATTCCGAAATGCGTTTCCGTTTCGAAAATATTAATTTAGCAGGGCTGTAAAACCAATCATCATGCAGCTTAATCTATAATAATTCAGTTAGCCCAGGACGCCGGCTTTCAAACAAACTTCTTTCCAACTGCATCCAAAAACCATATTTTCTAAAAAATGAGTACTTACATGGCATGCATTTTTTCATTGATTTTAGATGGCCTTAAAAATTCAATTATATTTTAAGGAAAAATGCTTAAAACTATTCATTCTTTTGTTCATTCAGTAGAAAATACGTCTTCTTTGAATTTTACACTCGAAGGAAGGGTATAGTGCGGTTTTAAAAAGTTTCTAATTGTGAGATTTTTTAATACCGTGAGATGGTCCTTCATAAAACGTCATGTCTCTGCATTTACCAATGTGGCTTGTTAAGTAAGAAATAGCTCAAATTTACTGCTAAAATTTATGAACCTCATATACTTTTTCCTTACTACCGTAGAGAAATGTATGGTTTTCCGTACGCGGAAATCATACGGCTTGTAGTTTGAGAACCCTGAATGCAAGCGTAACGGCAGGCCGGGTTCAAAATTATTCGGGAATTGGGAGAGTTTTCTAAAACCAAACTATACCCTTCCTTCGAGTGCAAAATCGAAGGAAGACGTAATTTTCCACTGAATGAACAAAAGAATGAATATTTTTACGCACGCACCCTGTACACTGAAATTATCAAGCTTTAATGTAACGACTGATCAGGTTCCACATTAATCGACAATTATAACACTTTTTTAAAGCCTAATTATACTCCTTCCTTGAGAATAAAATATAAAGAAGACATGATTCGCTATTGAGTGACTGAAAGAAAGCTTATTTTTGTTTATAGTTTCTGTAAGATAAATTTAAATTTACAAGACCATCAAAAATCAGTGAGAAAAGTGCATGCTACTTAAGTATTCGGCTTTTACCATGTACTGTTTCTACAGGAGATTGAAAAGCAGTATATTCAAAAGCTGACATTCTGCCGAGTCCGAAATGTTAAAGAATTATGCCACAAATTAATCAGTATTACAACCGCGACCAAGTAATCCACCCTAATCGGAAACGCATTTCAGAATTTCAGCCAACATTTCATGAGATCGGTCACTCACTGTAAGTGCATAGCTCAGATACAACTGCCATATTTATTGTGGGTTTTGGAAGACTTGAGCAATACATTTCGCCCAATCATAAAAACTTGGCGAATTCGGTGGGAGTCGAACCCACGACTGCAAGCACAAGGCATCGTTTGGTGTTCTGGAGGTTAGCAATACCAAGAAATATAATGTGAAATCGAATGGGTTCGCTGAGAAATGACGATGGACTCCTGCACGAGTTCGAGAATTCAGAAGAATAAACAGAATGTTCCTGTGCTCGATAATCCTTCTTATTCGCTTATACATATACCTGAAGCTCGAACTTTCACCTTCACTAGCAAAAACACTTTAAAACCTCCAGCGGCCATGCGCACTTAGCAGTTCTACTACCATCTTGTCTCAGGAATTAACACTACACACTCTCCCATGTCCCTCCAACGGCATTGATACTTTGGTTCACATACAAACATCCTACCTAGAGACGATAGGAACCACGAAAAGGCGGACCTACCCGCTGCATTCACAGGTAGCATGCAGTGAAGTGACCTTCGGTTAAGGTTAACTCTGAAGTACATTGCATTTCGGGTCTGCTGATTTAACCAATTGGGAGCCGATCTGACGAATCGGCTACTTACAGTACCTGTGCTAACTCATGAAATGTCACGAATTAACACAGGTTAACGCCTTTAACGCAAAATCGGTAAACACTACGGCTCCCAAAGTCTGATAACGGAAAATAAACGATGTGTCAAAGAAATAAAGCAAAGTTTGGTTAAGAAAATATTATTTACTGAGATAAAAATAAATAATTTTTGACAAAAGTCACATTTTCGAGAAACGCCTATATTTCAACCAAGTTAATAAAGGCTACGTATGAGGACGTATAAAGGAGGAGGTCGCATAAAAGGTCAAAAATACTTAAGGAC